TCAATGTGACTATTCAAAATGGGAAGATTACTAAATGCAGAGTCAATGATTAGTAAAATGCACAACTGCTCCTCGCCAAGCTAAATGTCTTCATGACTCAGTTGAATGTGTGCTTCCTACATTCAGAAACTGTCTATTGACATTGCAGTAGACAGGTTAGCATTCTCCTATTTTATCTCTCTGGTCCATGGATGACAGTATTCTGTTATTTATCATCCACCCAAATCTCATAACATCTTTTAAACCATCCTTTAGATAAGGGATACACAGTTCTGTGTTGTTTTAAGACAACTTCATCACTGATTATGTTGGTTATGGGTGACAGGAAGTGTATAACAAAATCAGACCATCAAGTGGAGTTTTAGATGTTTGAAGAGTATGCTATCATCTACAGTTACATTTTCTGGTTGCCTTCCCAGTTGCAAGGTTATATTTGACCCTTTTCTTTTCTTTGTATAAAAGTGTTGTTGAGCAGTAAATTTAATAAGGTTAGTAAATTTTACATCAAGTTTGGCTAAGAAATGAAAGTACTTCCTGAACCCAGAATTTCAAATTAGTAAGATTTGCTTTGAAGGACATATTTCAGCTAGAATGATTCACAAGCTGCTCCTTTTTGCTTCACATCCTGCTTATATCCACTTCAATTGGATAAATTGATGTTTTGATGGTCACATTTTTTTTCAAAAAAGCACCTGGTCCTTTCATATACCCACTGGAATGCCTCTAAGACATATGGGTATATGTGGCTAAGGACAAGATGGTAACTCATAGTACATATACAAAAGCGGTGAAACTAGCTGATGAATTTTTACTTAATACTGGTCATGACTGTTTTCAACTGAACCTGACTATTAACATAAGAGACACAGGGCAGATGATGTCACATTTATACATCGGTCTACTCCCTGTCCCTCAGCTTCTGGTGCCTGTGGTAATTGTGTTATTTTCTCCGATGACAGGATTGTCCCAGATGCCACTGTGGTTGCACTTGAAAAAAATGGGGTCTCTGTGAGGTACAATCTTGCCATATAGTCAGCCCTAGTCATTTCTTGCCTGTAGACAAGAAGCAGATGGATACTACTTTAAAATGTTAAGCTTCCCCTTGATGGTCTGAAAGAGAGAAGCACAAACATAAATGCAGAATCCTGCATGAGAGAACTGGAATAATATATTTCAAGATCTTTGGGGAAGTAGAATGTAGCAGTCAATTTCCTCTAGGAAGGTAATGAAGAAGTCCCAAATGCAACTGCATCCTCATGATTCGCAACAACAGATATAGAGAAGCATACTTTTTTCTCTGACATTGGAAGTGATGCATAGCCATCCTAGCTGGTAGCCATAGATAGCCCTAGCTTCCATGATCATGTTGATGCTCCAGTCTCTACCTTAATCTAGAATCATAGAATTGGAAGAAATCACAAATGCCATCCAGTTCAACACCCTGCCATGCAGAAAAATCTAATCGTCTACTGGAGACCAGGGGATTTACTGTGGACTAAAATTAAATGACCGAAACTCCATTTAAGCTATTCTTTGAAGAATGACTGAAACTTCAAAGCTGTTCTTTGAAGTCATTCTCCAAAGCCTATATATTAACGTTGGTTGTATGATAGAAGGAACATCTTCACCTAAGCCTTCAGGCAACAACAAAGAAAGCAACTTATTTTGTACTGAAGAGATGGTGTATCTTCTTCTCCAAGGAAACATGTATGTCTTTCCTGCCTATCATTTAAATATCTGTTCCTTCTCTACCCATCGGGAAGACCAAAGTGTTGAGACATTGCTTACATGTCCATGCAGAGATGCTCTTTGCAGATACTTTATATGGTCCAGCAACAGCTGTCACCCAAAGCGTATAGAGGCTCCCAGGACTCAAGTTATGGAAGGTAAGTTGTGTAGTGTTGCCTCCAACTGACATATTTCTGATGGATACACTGCTTTCACCTTCTTGCAGAAGAACCAAATAGAATTCTCTTTCTCCAACTGATGAATTCCATGATGCCTTTAAAGTGTTACTTTTGCCATAGCTATTCAAACTTAGGTTAGTTGGCTTCATAGGATCTATGGAAAGCAGAAAAGAGGGATCAACACTGAATGCATTGGCCAGAAATGTAAGTCTCTGAGCAGATTGTTTGTCTCTCTTACTACATGTATATAATCAATTTATTTTAATCAGGTTCTTTAAAAATAGCCAATCAATCTGATGGCTTCCTCAAATCTCAACTGCTCGGATTTCCTAACTGTTCTCTTTCTCATTTCTTGGATCAACAGTGGGTCTTGAAGAGGTTTAAAGATTGGAAATGCTAATGCTGAGAAAGAAAGATGATAAACAGCTGATTGGTTGGAATCCAAAGTTTAATTATTCACTTCCAGCAATCTGACAGGCATTTAGTTCTCCATATACAAGTTTTTCCCTCTTCTGAAACTAGGTTTTGTCTGCCAATTTTTCAATGTATATCCAATCATTAGGAAACACATTTTAAATTTTATATGAAGGAAGATATGGTAACTAATACTCTAAAGTCTCACAACCCATCTAAATTGGAAAGCTAAGTCAGACCAATCCTTGTACAGGAGACCAACAAAGAATACCAGGTACTCCAGGTAAAATTTCTTAGAAGTGAAATGCAAAACCACCTCTTGAGTTTTCCTTGCCTAAGAAAACCCTATTAAATTCATGGGATTGCCATAGATTAATGGGCAACTTGAAGGCATGCCTGCATGCACACATATACACTTAGAATACAGTTTGCCATTGAAGTAGTGTAACATATTTGTAGTTATTTTTAATTAAAAGTGCATTTGTATCCCAGTATCCTATGGTGGGGATGGGGGAGCGAGTATGGTCCTCCAGGTGTGTTTGGATTGCAATGCCCTTCATCCCTCACCACTAGAAGTTGCAACATAGTCACACTTGGAGGGTCATATCTAATACATATTCATGCTAACCAGCAATCAAGTACAGTTTAGACAAAAAAAATTCTGGGAATGGGCTGTAGAGAGTATTATTTACATTACCTTGCTCATTTCACATAGACTCAGCAGTTTCTCGTTACATTTACATGATATACCTACAAATTATAGCTGACACACTAATGTGACACAG